GTATGCATCAAGTACTATATCTTTTGACACTATATCACAGATTCAAATCACAATTATTTTGCAAATGAACACATCACAATATATTACTGCACCATAATTTAAAATTGAATCTGATGTCATAGATCATGCACCCGAGCTCACATTGAGTTTGCCATGGCTCATTTTTGTGTAAATAATGAACATTCTCTTCAGATTATGCAGATGAAGCAAAAACACGGTTTCAAACCAGAATTGAAGACAAATAAGCAATTAACATGACTAAATGACAAAACAGAATGGATTACGAAAATAAAAATGACTCAAACCTAGATTTGACCGATTAAAATAATAAAACACCATCAAAGAAAGGCTGGCACAAGAGAATTAATCAAACACAAAACCTACTGGAATCAGATTAGCAATGGAATAGTGATAACAGAACCAAGAAGACAAGCAAAAATCAGATTAGACAGAATCAAATGGATGAAGAAACACTTAGCTGGAACGATTTGCTGGAACCTTGGCTTTGAATACCACATGATAGGTTATGTTCCAGCCATACGCATTAAACTTGATGGGTGTAATTTATATGTGTGAAACATTTCGACACATACATCTAAGGAATTCAAGTTGTTGGTATTTTATGTTCACTTATATTATATCAGTGGAGCATATAAATTCAATTCATTACCAATTTGCTATTTTATGTTTGCATCAAATGGTTTTAGTAAATATAAAGGAAGGGAAGGCAATATTGAGAGAACAAGGTAAATTATTCGATATTGAAAATGTTGATTTTGAAATTTATGAAATTGATGCNGATTAGACAGAATCAAATGGATGAAGAAACACTTAGCTGGAACGATTTGCTGGAACCTAGGCTTTGAATACCACATGATAGGTTATGTTCCAGCCATACGCATTAAACTTGATGGGTGTAATTTATATGTGTGAAACATTTCGACACATACATCTAAGGAATTCAAGTTGTTGGTATTTTATGTTCACTTATATTATATCAGTGGAGCATATAAATTCAATTCATTACCAATTTGCTATTTTATGTTTGCATCAAATGGTTTTAGTAAATATAAAGGAAGGGAAGGCAATATTGAGAGAACAAGGTAAATTATTCGATATTGAAAATGTTGATTTTGAAATTTATGAAATTGATGCTTAGATGTAATGGTGCTTTGAGAGTGGGTGTTGACCGTAATTTATCATGTACTTGGGGAATGCTTTGTGTTTGAAACCCCTTACGCCATCATATGTGCATTTACTCAGCATGTAGTACAATTTGGAGTTATATGATAAATTAGAAGAGGCATTATCCCAGTGCCTGGAAAATTGGTAATATTGACAAGGATGAGGATATATTTAACCCAATGAAAAGTGATGCCTTTATTGGTGTTAATGCTCGATCGTGGATAAGTTTTGTACCATTGTAAGCTCTCATCGTGGAATAAAAAAATGATGATACTATATGGTCGTGTTGTATTGAAATTTTTAATGTTTTATAAAATATGAAATTAATTAACATTTTTAAAAATAAATTACTTTGAACGAATTACATAGATAAGATGTTTCAGTCTTGATCTTTTACATTAATTAATCTTGATCTAATGTTGTTTCTTTTTCCAAATGTACACTTTCCATCACCACCTCCTCACCACCAACTTCCTCGACCACCCCACCATCTTCCCCTTGGAGTGTCCAATTTTTCCAACAAAGTTGAACCCTAAGTGCACGTTGCCTTCTTCCACCTTTCTCGATATGAAAGAATGAGCTACTAATAACTATGAACACTAATTGGGATCTTTTTTGCGAATTATGATTTTTTTTAGATGAACTGCATTGGGTATGTTAGGGGTTCACTACACCGATGACTTTTCTTAGGATTTTAAACGGATCGTGTCCCATTATCTATGTTTTTGCGACGATTTTCTGAAAAACTCTTGTAAGTAACGACGATTTTTCAAAAAAACCCTGTAAATTTTGTCGACGGTGTTTTTCCTATCGTTTTTCTTAACAGCGAGAAATGTATTTACATAAAAACATCAAAGGTTTGAAACATTAAATTAAAATTCCATGTATGTTACATGAAAAGAATTCGTCAAAAATGTTTAAAGTTGAGGCTACAAATATAATTATGTTCTAAAATAATACATTTCCTACATAGGTAGTAAATAATAAAAGTCCTTTTGAAACATGACATGGATACAAGCTGTCATTGATTTTTCAACACTTTTAATGACATTTTAAACAACCATAGTTGTTTTTTTCACACTTTTAACAACGAACATTTCAACAACGATTTGAAAATCATGGTAAAAAAACCTATTTTCACCGTCTTTAGAATCTTTATCTACATTTAGGAAGCCTAATATATAAAGGGTTTAGAACCAGCAAGACTTTAGGAATATAAATGCACTTCAACAAAAAATATAAGAGGATTTGAATTTCTTAAAATACTTACTAGAGGTCTTGAAATGCTTCATCATGCAAGAATATAAACAAATTTTAACCCACTTTCTTTCAATTGTATAAGTTATATTCAAGTACAAGTCGTGACATGGAATTACGGATTAAAATGCCCCAAGTATTGTATGCATATGCATGGAAAACCTTATATATATGCCATGATTCATATAATACTATACATTACACAAAGGAAGCTCAAAGTGTTACATTATGTTTTGGAGGATTAAAATTAGTTATCATATTCATATTTTGTAAGTAATCTTTAATTACAAAAAAAAAATTGTTATACTTCGAATTTTTCTTCTAACATTTTGAGTGTGATGACAAAATCTCCCACATACAGTTGATTTCAATTTAGGAATCCTTTGAAATATTTTTGTATAAGCTCTTCCATTGACTCAAAAATGTTGCTTTCCCACTGTTGTTAAAAGACTTATTTATAGTGAGGTACCAGCAACACAAAGGTTATGTGCTATGTTGAAATGCTTCTTTACTTCTTCCTCTTTATTTTGTTATGGCACAAAATTAAGTTAATCATAAATAGGCACACTCTAACGGTTGAATTTGACTCTAAGCTTTAAAATAAGGAGATATGTAAATTGAAAAGGTATATCTAATGTTGATTTGAACTGGGCAAGTTTAAAAGGTAGGTAATTTATTTCAAATTAAGGGCATCTTCTTACATGAAAAAGAAATTCATCTTCTTACATATATTGAGTACTAAGATGGTTGAAATTCATCTTAAGTTGATATTCAAAGTTCTCCATTATTGATTTCATTTGGCTCTTGTTCTTCATCTCCTATTTTGACATGAAATAATCATTTAAACACTTTTCCACTATTTGTAATATGGTTTTGTACTTCTTAAAGTTGTCATTTGTCTAGTTCATTTTTTACAAAAAGTGCATTCTTACTAGCAACAATTTATGGACAATGAGATCTCATAGATGATACTCCTTCACATTGTCACAATAGGTTAAGAATATATTATTTCTAGACTTTATGTTTGTTTTTTTTCTTGACAGTCATACATTACATAGGAGAACCAAATACGTGTGGTAAAGAATAATCAATTTGTTTTCCTTCTCATATCTTTTGTGTCTCCAAATCAATTATATATAAATCAATTATATATATATATATATATAATATTCTCAATAATAAAATGTAGAAAAAATTAATTCTTTATTATAAAAAATAATATTGTTTTCATATTTAAAATTTTAAATCTAGATAACTTTTGTAGGGTACATTACATGAACCAAACGACGACATTCGGGATCACTCGGTCTACCTAACACGACAAGCGAAAGTTAACAAATGTAAAAGGTTTTATTACTGTTGGGCCAGCTCTAAAGATATTGGGCTAGTAGTTCAACAACAGAATAATAAGATATCAATTAGATATTTATGTTTTCATTAAATCCCAAATACTGAATTATGATAAACAGTTCATTGAGCAATACTTAACTTGAGCGTCATAGTGCCTTTTGGCTTCTAGGCAAGGAAGAATAAAAATGAGAAGAGAGAATAAGATAAAGGGAAAGAGGAACAAGAATCCTCAGCTTGATTTGGCTCCCGTGACCTTAAGACCCCCTCTCCCTCTTTCAATTATTGCAGCTCCTTTTTGGGCTTTATTGACCACCTAAAAATAATAATAAAAAAAATAAAATAATAAAATCTAAGGGGTGTCCTACGGAGTGTTCGAACTAGGGATGGCAACAGCTCGGGTCGGGCACAGATAGTGCCTACCCGCAACCCGACCCGCTATCCGCACGGATACCCACTTAAAAAATATCCGCGGGTATTTTAAAATTCACGGATACCCGTGGATATTCGCGGATATCCGCAAATATTTTAAAAAAATATATTTTAATAAATTATTAAAATAAAATTTAAATAAAATTACAAAAAATATATAAAATATAATATAAATTAAGTTAAATATAAATTTAAATTCAATTTTAATTAAATTTAATCTTGTAAAATATAAGTTAATGTTAATTTTAATTAAATTTAACTTAATAAAATATAAATTAAATTTTTATTTTTATTTTTTACGGGTAGCGGGTATCTGCGGGTACGGATAGTATAATACCCACACCTGACCCGTTTATAAGCGGGTATTAAAATATTCGCTACCCGCGGATTGCGGATAGTAAATATCCGCGGGTATCAACTATCCGTCGCAGATTTTATCTGCGGATATCGACGGACGCGGATTTTTTTGTCATCCCTAGTTCGAACCCTTTTCCACACACCACAAATTATTTCTATTTAAGTAATTCAGAATCGCTTATTTCTTAATTTTCCATTCCACAAATATTAAATTTTATTCAATTAATTTACATATCACATAAAACATATAAACTAAACCTTTACCTCACTACACTAAGCTAGGGTTAATTAAAGAACATTATACTATAATTATTTTATCTAAAAGACAAAATTCTCATTTAAATCAAAATTTCAAAGGCATAACAACCAAGTCTAACACATGATACTAAAATTAAACCTTATCCTAAAGAAAATTCTGATAACTATTTTTCATGGATCTTATCTGAAGAACCTTTTCTAATGGTGCTACTTGCCCTAGAAGATTTCCCAGATTTTGAAACGTTAATCCCTTTTTTCGTAGATTTGACTGGTGAAGCTTTGCCAGATTTTATACCTGATCCATTATTTCCAGATCTGGAATGACTACCAAATTTGCCCTTGACTTTTGAAACTTGAACCATTTTTCTATCCTTTCCCTTCTGCTCTGTGATTTGGGTCCTTGTAGTGTCCCTTCGAACACTTTCTTTTGTGATAGCCTCCAAACTCTCATTGTTCCTTATTGCTTCCTTTATTTTGCTGGCCAAGTCCAAGTCCCTTTTAGCAACTAAACTTGTTACCTTCCCTGCATGAGAAAAGAGCATTTTCGATCTTCCAACTACAGCTACATATTTGTAACACTCATAATGCAATGTCTAATGTACAAAATAGAAGAAACCCAATATGATACACATCAAGATCTTTCTCTTCCTTTCTTTGCTTCGGTATATAATGACCAATTTTTTACAGCAGTTAGAAATGCTGCATGCAGGTTTTCAAAATCAAATACACAGTAATCAATTTTATCTTTTAGTTTATAAGTAATTGAAATAAACTTAAATTTTAGGGTTTTATTAATAATTTTATTTAAATTTTATTTTATTAATTTTGGATCTAGTAATATTTAATTTGATTTGATAGAGATAAAATAGAGAGGTAGAATATTATTTTATGATAGAATAAGCAGATTTTATTTTGATGACAATTTATATTTTACTTTTAGATTTTATTTTTATTTCTGTAATATTGTAAGTATCACATCTATTTAAAGTTCTTCAATTATTAATGAATAACAAAACTCAATTTTAGAAAAATATGCAAGTTTATTGTGGAATTTTCTCAACAATTTCAACTATAAGATTTGGTGATTGAGAACATTATCTGCAGCTTCCAATTTACAAATACTAAGGCAAAAACACTGCTTGTAAAATAAAGATCAGGATTGTCGATTGAGATAAACTGATTAAATTAAATTATATAAGAATTTGTTACCTTTTGCACCCATACGAGCAATACTACCTGTGCGATGAAGGTAGTCAATCTAAAATAGAAAGGAAAAAGAATATCAAGAGGGGAAGGTAGAAAGAAGGTACTCTGACCTAATGCGCCACTAAATAAATTAATAGATACGATGCTCACATAATTCAAGGGGAAGTCAAACAAACATCACAACATGATCTACATCAAAGTCTACCCCTAGCAGCCACGTTCGTACAAACCAACGTAGGACAATCATCACCACTCTTAAACTTTTTGAGATTTTCAACCCTGAATTCAAGAGAAAAGCATCATGAATAAGTGGGCATGACAGGAAACAGAGCATCAGAGAAGCACTGGTTCAATTGAAATCATAGGCTCAAAAGCTACAATATGCAATTTTATCGAACACAAATTGGCCGATTCTTTCCTATTTTCTTGGGTCATTAATCACTCTAGCTGTCTAGTTGTTATAAGAGCAGTTTCGATATTGCAAAATATCTCATGTTTTAATATGCACGTTCTTGGCAGCTTTCGTGCTTCCATGTATCTCGGCTGCCAACGTTTCTTTTGTGTAACGTTCATATATTTGATTTGCAAGACTCGGGATTCACTCAGTAAATAGAACAACGTGGAAACCGTAAGGCATGGGATTTTCCCGTTAGCCTTGGGCCTTGGGCCAATCTTCTTTGGTTTCTCATTCTATAAATAGAGTACTTTCATCCATTTCAAAGACACATCTTTTCACACTCTTCTCTTCCTCTCATTCTCTAATTATTCTTTTGTTTTCTCTCTTGTCTTTTATTTCTTAAAATATTATGGGTTTATTTATTCTCTCTAAGAGATCCTTGCTAGTTCTGAGATCCTCAGAAATTCTGAGAAGTTCTTATTGTATCCTAGGGGCTTGCGCAATACACCGCGGATAAGTCCTTAAGGACAGTGATCTACACGCCTCAGGAA